GGAGGGGAAGATGATGGGGGGGGGCATTCCAGGGTGCACTAAAGGCGACACATGATCAGACGGCGGCTCCAGATCGGTCTTTAGGTTTGCCGTCAGATCACATATCCCGCGAGATGGTCAGCCGGCACGCCGGGGTATCGCGTCTGGAGCCGGGCGCCTCGGCATCCCAGCCGGGAGGCCTGCGAGGGCGCGCAGGATGCGCGGAAAAAACAACACGAAAAAAACAACCAACTGTGTTTCGCGCGCGCGCGCGTGTGTGTGTGCATGAGGAGGGGGAACATATTTTCAAGCATGTATTTCGGTGGGGCATGAGGCTGAGACGGCGCACACATGCGTGCACACGCCAAGGAGACAAAGGGGGACCGGGAGCGAGGCGAGAAAAGGAGGCAGAAGGGAAGCAAGGACAGTCATCTATCGCCCCTCTCCGCGGTCCCCCTGCATGGGTTGTGTAAATATATATATATATGTAAATATATATGTGTGGCTGGGTGGGTGGAGAAGGGGGGAAGGGCGAGGTGCGCGCCAGGCGCCCACCAGCTTCAGCCGGCTACTACACGCCCCCCAATCTCCGCTGGGTGTGCGAGCCGCCTCTCTCTCTCTCTCAGAGAGCCAGCTCGCTGGCTTCCGGATCCCGGACCAGCAGAGGCAGGTGTACCGACGGGGGCACCATGTCGCCCGGCCGACAGGAGCAGTGGTTTCTAATGTCCTGCCGGGCACCCTTGGAGAGGAGGTAGGCGATCAGGTGGTCGTCTCGCAGCAGGGCCGCATAGTGGAGGGCCGTATTACCGAAGGCGTCCTGGGCATCGACATTGGCGCCATTCTGAAGGAGGAGCTCGGCCAGGGGAAGGTTCAATGTGGAGATGGCCGTATGCAGGGCCCCCATGCCGAGACGCACGCGACTCAAGTACACCGGGGCCGCTTCCAGTGAGAGGGGGAAGAAGAAGGCGCCGCCCGGTCGCGAGGAGGAGGAGGAGGACGACGAGGAGGAGGACATGCCGCCGGTGGGAGAAGTGGTGGCGGCGGGTGGCGGCGTAGGGCCCGGGGCCGGAGCCAAAGACAGGGCACTGCCCTGGCTGCGGGTTGGGCTGTCATGCGGCCGTTCCAGCGCCAGGCCGGTGGGAGTCACGGCCGACGGCGTGCGCGGACTCAGGCCAGCCCCCCCGGGCATGGTGCCGGATTGGGTGGTGACCGGCGAGAGGGCAGCCAGGTCCTTGGCCGACGGGGCCGCGGCCCCACCGACCGCGCGTCGGACACGCTGCGGGGTGATGATCGGGTCGTCGTCCGACTCATCATCAGACACATCGTCATCGTCGGACACATCATCATCGTCATCGGACCAGGACAGCAATGAGCAGGCCGAGTCCAGGGTTTCGGAGGATTCCGAAGAGAAGAGCCCCCCGGCAGGCCGGTGGTGGATGGGCAAGCCGGCGTCCTTGGCGGAGGCGCCTACGGTGGGGGCGGCGGCGGCGGCGGTAGTGGCGGCGGGAGCCGCCGCGACCAGCTCATTCTGATGGTGAGGGGAGATGGTGGTGGTGGTGGTGGTGGAGGTGGGGGTGACGGCGGCGGCGGCGGCGGCGGCGGCGGCGGCGGGCTGCTCTCTGTTGGGGTGGAGGAGGAGCTGGTGCGAGTCCGGCCGCAAGAGGTGGTGATGGAGGTGGAGATCCTCACCGGGGCCGGACTCGATGTCGGAGGAGGTGATGTCCGACTCGTCGCTCGAGGAGGACGAGTCGTACGAGTGAATGGATGCATGGGACCCGGAGGTGGGGATGCCGCCGGGGATGTCGCCGGCGCCGGTGCCACCGCTGGCCGAGCTGCTCCCACCCGGGGTCAGGCGCTTGGATCGGGTGACCGCGGCCGAGCGCTTGCGCTCGGCGGCCAGCTCCTCCACGGCACAGAGGGCCGTCACCTCGTCCAGGAACTCGAGCCCATTCACATCGGCCCCGAGAGGCAGCGTGTGCAGGGTGCCGAGCGGGTCGCCAAAGCGCACATACGCCAGCATCTTGCGAACGAGCAGGCGCGCCTGCTCCGCCGCCGGGAGGGCCAGCTCAGCCGGCAGGAGCAGCGGCCGGACAAACAACTTTTGCGAGTACTTGGCGATGATATAGCGCTGACGCTCGTCCCGGGGGGCGCCCTGGGGGGGCTTGCTGATGAGGGCCCCTTCGGTGGAGGGGTCGCCGCCGGAGGCCGGCCCCCCCGGTGGGGGGGTCGCCCCAAGCAGGGCCTCTAGGATGGAATTCGACCGGTCATTGCCGAGGGACACCTGCATGGCCACCAGCTCCGGGGTCCAGCTCTGGACGTCCAGGGTGGAAGAGCGGATCTTGGTGATGTGAGTGCCGAGGGATCGGTGTACACCGGAGCAGCCTGAGCCGCGCGAAGCCGCCAACGCAGAGGGGGGGGGGGGGAGAAAAGGGCAGGGACATGGTCAGCATCGGGAACATAGCGACCCGCCACCGGGAGGGAGCAAAGCCGGGAAAGGAACAGAGGACCGGCACGCACCAAGGCAAATGCACACGCCAAGGTTGATGGAGCACCAGTCGGGATTGGCAGCGCCACAGTCGGCGCACTGGAGGTTGGAGGGGACCTGCGTGGTGATTTGGTCGTGGATCTATGGGCAAAATGCGCGCGCACACACATGCAAGCGAGGCGGTCAAAGGGGGGAGGCAAGCAGACAGCAGAAGGGCCATGTCAAAGTGCGGAAGTTAGAACACGGGCCAAGGGGAGTCGCATGAAGAAGAGGGGACGGGGGGGGGGGGACAAAGCACGGAGGAAATGCACAAGGCCATGCCCCACTTGCTGGGCCAGGGCGCCGGCCGACGCACACTCATTTCCCCAGCACGGACGTCGGATGTGTGAAGCGGCCCGTGCAGCGAAGACTCGATGGACTTCTGGATGACCTGGATCCAGGTGGAAAGCTCCTCCTCGGACATGGCCTGGTAGAGGCGCCGCGAGGAGGGGGAAATGAGCTCGAAGCAGAATCGGCGCTCGGCCTTGGGGGCCGAGCGGACCGAGCAGGTCCGAAGATCGGTGCTGGTGCCGCCCCGAGGCCCGGGCTTCCAGTGGGCATACTCATGCAGAGCCCCCTCACTCACCACGCACCAGACCTTGCGCCATTCGCGAGTGGCGGTCTTCTGGTGCATGGTATAGAGGAACCCCTGGCGGCCGCGGGCCAAGGCGCGCGGGTCATTCCCGTCATTCATCGGGTCCAGGTCGCGGATGCCATGGTACTTGGAGGCCGCCCCGGCAGACAGGCCCCCGCCAGGCCGGCCGACCAGGATATTCCTCCCGAAGAGGGACACCACACGCTGCTCGTGCTGGCGGATGCGCAGACGGTCGGCCGCCTCGCGGCTGCCATCCTGGATGCTTTGGCGCACGGTGTCGCGCTCGTTGCGCCACGTGTGGGCATTGGTCCAGCCCTGGGAAATGTGGTCCACCAGGGAGGCCTGCTTGGTGGCCATGCGCGAGGATAGCTGGCCCAGCTTCGAGTGCCAGGTGGCATGCTTCTCCACCAGGGAGCTGGCGTAGTGCTGGATTTCCTGCTCCTTCAAAACAAAGAGGCTCTCCATGTTGGTCAGGTAGTCGTAGCGAATCAAATTGTAGGACCCCTGCCGGTGGATGTACTTCTTGTCGATTTGGATCAGCTTTTCCGGGCGCTTGTGCGCATAGGTGCTGAGGTACTTTTCCAGGAAGGCATGGTACGAGGCGGAGGTCTTGTCGAAGTCCGTCTTCATGTCTTCCAGCCGGCGGAAGTCCGTTTCGCACATTTGAACCAGCGGATCGATGAGAATGCACCGGATGTGGTACCGGTAGGACTCGTGCGCCTCGCCCTCCTGCGAGAAGATGGATGACAGGTAGTCCGTGGCCGAGGTGACGCCGCGGAAGGCCGAGAAGCTGGCCAGGAGTTGGGTCTGTGCGTTCTGGATGGCCTCGATGCTGGCCTCGTAGGCCTGCAGGGCGGCCAGCAATCCCCGGACCTTCTGCGTGAATTGGTGAGCATCGCGCTCCAGCTCGTCCACCGTGGCCCGGAAGAGGGGGCCCTCCTCGGTGGATGTGGCCTCGGCCAGGATGGTGGCACTGCCGGCCGGGGCGGAGCCGCCGGGCCCGGTGCCGGTGGCGCTGGCCGAGGACGATGCCCCGGCGGGGCCGGTCACGCCGGGCCCCGGGGTGGCGGCCGACCCGGTCCCGGTGGCGGGGAAGTTATAGGAGGACAGCGATTGGGTCGAGCTGCTGAAGGGGATTTTGCCCGATCGCACGGACGCCGTGTCGCTGGATGCGTGCCTATTTGACGAGGCATCTGGCAGGGCTGCACCCAGGGGACCGGGATGGCGGAAGCGCATGCGGGCATGGTAAGAAGTCGAAAGGTGAAGCCCATGGACGAGAGAGCAGCCAATCAAAACCCCGGGAAGCCTGGTGTCCGGCTCTGCCGCCTGCCTGCTACCCCCCCGCCCCCCACCCCACCCCACCCCACCCCGGGAGTGGCAGCACTGGCAACCGGCCACAAGGCACGACGGACAACAACGCACAGAGAGAGGCAGAAGAAATGGACGAGGCAGAGGAGGCCGGGGCCGGGGGCGAGGCGATGCCCCCGCCGGGAGCTGTTGATCCTGATGAAAACCCGGCCCCGGTGCTCGATTGTGAGGCCATCCCGAGGGCCGAGGTAGAGGGGGCCAGCGAGCTGGATGACCCGAGGGGGCCGGTGTTGGCATTGCCGGATCCCGGGGCGCCGGGCCCGGACCCGCTCGCAGAGGATGAACCTGACCCCGGGCCTGAGGAGGAAGAGCTGGAAGAGCTTGAGGCGAAGATGTTGACACTCCGGGCGATGCGGAAGATGTTACCCGGCGAGGAGGGGTGGCTGTTGGAGGAAGTCATCGTGCGAAGTGGCCGACCGGGGGCGCAGGGCCGGAGGGATGCGGGGAAGGAAGGAAGGAAGGGGGGGGGGGGGCCCACAGGGGACACACTGCTCCGCTGG